GGGGGGGGGGGGGGGTCCGGCCGCATGAGGGGTTTGCACAACAGGCAAAGATTTTACGACAATGAAAGGGGTAATGTAAGCCGCAAACGCAGAGAGCCCCATAGCGCGAGGCGAAGTCGAGACAAAGTCGAAAAAGCGAAGTCGAAACGTCAAGGAATAGGAATAGAAATGGGAATAAAAAAGAGAATAAAGAAAATGATAAAAAAACAAACACACACACAGCCGGACTAGGCTCGCGCTTCCCGTACCTCGCGAGGCTCCCGATTCCCCAGTCCGCGCAATATCTTCCCAAGTGTCAATATCTGACCTTGTTTTGCCCGTCCAGGGGTCGCCCATTGCCGTTCCCGTTCCCGTTCCCGTTCACGGTCTTCATACACGGTCCCGATTGTCCAACCGGGTGTAGCGGAGGCGAGGGCAGTGACGGGGCAAACGTAGTTCGACAGGCTCAGGCTGGTGGTGGATGTCGACGCGTCCCGTTGCTCGAAGATCGGTCCTGTAGCTGTAGCAATGCGTTCTTTTTCCACCCTGGAGGCTTCGACGATCGGGTCCAACTTTATCCCAGACGCCGTACCAACGCCCCCACCCCCTCCCCCGCCCACGCCAACGCCAACACCCCCGCCCAGGGGAACCCCAACGGCCCCGCCCACAGCTCCATTCCCAGCACCACCCTTCCATGGCATCGCGCGCCTACAAGAATACGGGTATCAGACCTGACCAGGAAACGGGAACCTTCTAACTCGCTTAGACTCATGAACGATCCTCTGCGCTGGCGTAGGCCGGGTAAACATGAAGGAGGCGGGCGTTCGGAGGTCATCAAGTTCCGGAGGGAGACCTTGGATGGATTTGACGTTCGTACGGGGGACGCGGGATTTGGATGAATTGAGGGGGGAGGGTCTGTCCCGCTCGCGATCACGATCCCGGTTACTGTCCCTGTCGCGCTCGCGCTCACGCTCCTTGCCTTTGCCTTTGGCCTTGTCGCCGTTCACGCAAGGCGGCCCAGGACCAGCACCAGCACCAGCAGCAGGTGACTCCGCCGACCCCACAGACCTAATACTCGCCTCCCTCAACCCGCTCCACCTACTCTTCACACTAGTCGGGTCAGACATAGTAGTCGCCACAGTGGACAGACTACGCAAGCTCCCGTTGCTCAAGCGGGTGTTGTACGAGCCTGTCGAGGGGGTGAAGGAGGATACGGAGGAGGCATAGTTCGGATTAGGCTGCGGGCCGGGGTTGGGGTAAGGGTTGGGAAATGAGTGTGCGGGGTAGTGGGCGGGGTTGAGTGGCGAATGATGCGCCCGCCAGGATTGAGCCGGGCGAGAGGCTGATCCGGCAGAAAGAGGAAGAGGAAGAGGGAGAGTGGGAAGAGCAGGAGGAGGGGGAGGCTGCCGCCCCCTGGCCCAGATATCGGCTTCCATACTAGGACGAGGACGGAGAGTGCCTGCACTGCCTGGACTCGCGTTCCCAGGGAGAGGGTCGGTGGCACTGGGGAACGATCCTGGAGGGAGAGAAAGGGGAAGGGGGAGGGGGAGGGGGAGGGAGTCCTCCCCCACGCTCCTCCGGCTTAGGACAAGCGGCCCTGAGACTAGGCTTGCCTCCCTAGCGAGCGCCTCGACCGCACTGGCATGTTCTTGCAACTGGAGAGCCTCGCGGTCTTGTTCTTGCATCTGGGGGTGGGACTGGTGCGAAGGGTGCGGCTGGTGCGAGGGGTGCGACTGCTGTAGTGCGAGCTGACAATCCGCCTGCTGCTGTTGCGCCAATACAAGCGCACCCGCAAGCTGTGAAGCCCCCACCCCTCCAGCCCCTCCAGGAACAGACGCAGGAAGTGGCAAAGGCAGGGACGCAACGGAATTGGCAGCCGAGTTCTTGCTCTTGTTACTCCTCGCACCTCGTTTGCGGCGTTTCATCAGACTGGGCTCGCGTGACGAGCTAGGGGATTCGCGGTCGTGGTCCCTATCGCGGTCGCGGTCGTGCTCTCGATGGTGGTCATGCGAATGATGCACATGTTCCACTCTAGTCCCGGACGCCCTGCTCCCCCGCCTCTCCCTCTCCCTCTCGTCCTCATCCCTACCCACAGCCTGATCCCTCCTCCCCACCCGACTCTTACTCTTACTCTTCCCGACTTTGGCTGTCTTCCTCTTCCTCCCCCTCTCCCGTTCTAGCGAAACTTCGTCCACCATCCCCCCGAGGTCGAGCACCCAGGCACCGAGTTGGGAGGCGTCGACTCTGTCTGCCGCAGGGCAGAAAACCCGATCAACGAGGTACTGTGCCATGTTCTGCCCACAGGATTAGCTGTGGCACTCTCACGGAGAGAGGAACTCACCAGAGAAACACCAGGAAAACGCTCCATGAAAAACCCCGCTCCGCCCCTCTGGAACGCCTCGAACGCCTCGCCTTCTCCGTCCTCGAGGTCAGGAGCGTCCGGGTCAGAGATCGTAGCCCGCGGCCAAGGGTTCTGGTGGTAGAGCATGTTGATGAGCACTATACCGAGCGACCAGACGTCCGCAGGGTGGGTAGCGTATGTCGGAGCGACGTTGTTCGCGCATTCTAAGCCGTATGAGTATCGACCGTCAAAAAAGGAAGAAGGAAGGCGTACCGTAGCTCATGTAAGGCGCACTACCGCAATCAACATCCTTACTCTCCCTGTCCCTACTCGCGAGTCCAAAATCCGTAAGCTTGACCATGACTCTGCGCTCTCCATCCTCCGCCTCTCCCTCAGTGACGATAAAGTTCTCAGGCTTGATATCCCTGTGGGCAATCCCGTGCGCGTGGCAGAAAGCGACCGCGGCGCACATCTGGGTGAACATGCGCGCTATGAGGCGGAGACGTTGGGGCGAGAGGAGGGAGGCAGGAGAGTGCGAGGAGAGGAGGGACGGGGTGCGCGGGGTGTGCGATATAGGCCCGGTGAGGGAGCCCCTGTGTAGTGTATGCTCTGAAACGCTGGACGACGGGGAAGGGGAGAGCATGCTCGGGTGAACGTCGCTGTCCCTAGCCTGTTCGAGGAAGTAGAACAGGTCTTCGCCAGGCACGTGCTCTAGGATGAGCAAGAGCCAGCTGTCAGTAATGAGCGTCCGGTGGAGAGTGACAATGTTCGGATGATAAGGGAGAGACTGGTGTATCTGCGCTTCCTGTAACTGGGTGCCAATCTGTCCCGGGGAAAGGTCACGCTTGCTGAGAACTTTGATAGCAAACTCTCTTCCATACTTGACCGGTTGACGGGGCTGGACGAATGCGGGCGTGTCGCTGTCCATCTCCAATCTGCCAAAGATCGTTTCGGGCTCGTCGTCCATCCTCCTGAGCGCAGCACGGCGCGGGTGCTCACCAAGCACCTCCCGAACAAGATACACGCAGGCGTTGCTCCCCTCCCCGATCTTGCGCATGACCTGGACGACATCTGCGATCTCGCCACCTTGTTCCGGACTAGGGTGGTTACCGAGCGGGACAGGGTGTATGCGTTCCCCGAGGAGGAGGAGGCCTACGCCGATGCGGTCACCAGGGACGAGGACGTCTTCCGCCGTTGTTGGGGAAGGGAGGTTTACTGTTTTGAGGGATACGCTGACTGGGAGTGGGGGCGGGGGTGGGGATGTTGGACGGGAGAAGGAAGGGGTTGGGAGGCCTGATGAGAGGGGAGAGAGAGGGCGTGAGATGTCGAGCATTGGAGGGAGGGGGAGGGGAGGTGGTGGTGGGAAGCCTGATGGAGTGAGAGGCGCTGTTGGGTGAGAACGTGATGCCGATCTTAGGAGAGAGGGGAAGCGTATACTGCGCGTTCGGGTGGGCGTCGACATTGGAGGGAGGGGGGAGGGGAGGGAGGGAAGAGGAAGAAAGGTGAGGGCGGAGTGAGAGAGGGAATGAGCTGGCCTATGCTCAGTATAGGATGAGATGGATTCGATGGTGGTGAGAGAGAGAGAGGGAGAGAAAGGAGTGAGTGGCAGTGGGATCTCTTTGGGGGAGTAAGAGAGAGAGATAGGCCAGCGTGATGAGTGAATTGGAGTGTGTGGTGTGTGCACTATGCAAATGAAAGGGCACGCGCCCCCCCCCCCACATGGATCCACACACACTTCCCCTATCGGGCGCTTCACTCTCTACCACGCAGCGAGCCACACGGTCACCCCTCTTAGCATGTGCTTCACTCCCTTCTCTCCATGTGCACCAGAACACACGGATCCTTTCATACAGCGTGATCACTCTGCTTCCGCTCATCCAACGCATGCACGACCACATTCGAGCACATTCCACTCTTTGCTAACAATACCTTGCCACAGCGGTAGGATAATCATTCCATTATTCCTTCTCTTCCTAACATCACCTACTACCCTCCCTGCCCAGCCACCCCTCCCAACCATACACTGATTAAGCGCCCC